TACTCAGGGTTTTATTCCCACTTGTTGCAGATGGGCAGATGTATTACGGCTATTGTATCAACTGCCTTTATCCTGCGATGGGTGATGCTTAGGACCATGGGCATGGTCATTCCTTACGTCTCGTCTAATGCTTTTGTTGGAGATGATCATTCGCTGGCACTATATTTGAACTCCGCGTGAGTGTGTGTGGTTTGAACAAATGGCTTCCGCTACTTTTATTCGAACTGGTTTGTAATAACTATGTTTAAACTCTGATGTATCTGAGATTGCGAACTTTTATGTAATATGTGATGGTGACCGCTAAACTTATTACGATCTTGGCTGGAATGGAAGTTGGTTTGAAATCCTTCGTGATTTCACGGACTACCGGGTTATACGGGCTTAAGTTTGCTAAATCGTCTGCCCTGGCGGATGATTTTCTCACTTAATTTCGTATAATTGGTCGGTTCTGTTACACATTCCTCATTTTTTGTTTGGTTTGTGGAACGGAATAGGTTGATGCATCATCACCGCATTCCTCATAAGCTAATAATTAGTACTAGTACGAGGAGTGAAATCATTCTACCAAATTTGAAGAATGAACTCATGATGCACCACCTCATCTTGGATTGAGTGGCTCCTCAAACCAAACACACCGTAATTACTAGCGGCAAAACACCTACCAAAAGCTACGTGGATGGCCACTTGGTTCTTGCACATCCTCATGTCTAATTTGAATCAGAGTGTGATCACTTAAATATATTAGGAAGCCAAATGTGCAATTTCTAAGTTGGAGGACCTAGACGAGAGAATCATGTAATACTTGACTCACGTTAAAAAAAAGGAAAGACTAGCGCCCGGACGTCCGGATGCCCACGCCTACTGCTCGCCCACGTGTCTGATGCGCTGCCTCTGCATGCGGTAGGAAATGGCGCAGGCAACGCACTTCCCTCGATGCCTGCGGTCCCTGCATACTTGCTATAAATAGTTGCCACGTGTCCAGTCTCACAGATCCAACGGCGCGCCTCGTAGACTCCACATACTCGGATCGTGGTCTCCCATGCCGCTGCTTTTCCAACACCGCCATGCGCCATTGGATTTGTGCGAATGGACACGTGGCAACTATTTATAGCATGTATGTAGGGAGGCACGGTGTATACATGTTCCACCCAATTTTTTCCCAAGAAGGGAGCATGCACCGTGCCTCCGCCTCCCACTTTGCCTTAGATGGGCCCCACAGTGCATGCATGCAGCTCCTGCCCGCCCACTGGCACACTGCTATCACACATGTCTGCGCGCTACTGCTACTGTTGTCGCCTGCGCTGCTGCTGCCATGCCTGCCGCCCCCGCCCCACTTGCTGCTACGGTACACATGCGCCTGCCCATGCATGTGGGGGCTGCCGCGCCCGCTTTGCTTCCTCGCACACACGCGGGGACCGCTGCGCCCGAGGGGACCACCACCGTCTGCGTCCACTTCCCACGCCTGGTCATGCAACACTTGCAACAAAAAGCATTTGCTACAAACAGATGAAACATTTACAAACACATGCTTGCAACATATGTGGATGGCCACTGCAACATATGCAACATCCATATAAAACACTTTCAACATACGTTTGAAATAGATAAAACATTTGAAACATACACTTGCAACATACGTATATAGCCAGTGCAACATATGCAACATCTAGATGAAACACTTGCAACATACGTTTGAAACAGCTGAAATATTTGAAATATACACTTGCAACTAGTGTGTATAGCCATTGCAACATATGCAATATCCAGATAAATCACTTGCAACATATGTTTAAAACAAATGAAATATTTAAAACATACACTTACAACATACGTATATAGCCATTGCAACATACACAACATCTAAATAAAACACCTGCAACATACGTTTGAAACAGCTAAAACGTTTGAAACATACACTTACAACATACATGTATAGCCATTGCAACATACGCAACATCTAGATGAAACTCTTGCAACGTACGTTTGAAACAACTGAACATTTGAAACATACACTTGCAACATACGTGTATAGTCATTGCAACATATGCAATAGCAAATCTACTTTCAAAACATCTAGATAAAACAGATGCAACATACATCTGAAACGCATAAAATATACGGTTGCAACATGTGCTCATCTACATGTTGCTCTCCAATGGAGGCTTGTTGACGTGGAGCTCGACGCCGGCGTGGAGATCGAGGTCGCCCACAGTTGATAGGCAGATGGATTGCGACCGCGGCGGGAAGCGCGAGGTGCGAGGGAGCGCAGCGCAAGGCGCAAGCAGGAAGGCACAGCGTGAAGCGTGAGGCGCAGGCAAGGGCGCACGGCTCGGGCAGCGCACTACATGCGATGCAAGGCACGACCGAGGGTGCACGGCGCAAGGCGCGAGACGCGGGGGCAAGTAGGCCAGTCCCGTCTGGAATAGGACAAATGCCCTGAGGTTATCATTATCGTTAAAAATACAATGTACTTCCTCTGTCTCAAATTATAAGACGTTTTGGTTTTTTTATATTCATAACTTTTATTATGTATTTAAACATAATATATATCTAGATGCGTAGCAAAAATTATGAATCTAGAAATATTAAAACGTCTTATAATTTAGAACGGATGAAGTATGTGCTAAGATTACCATCCTTCCTCCTGGAGGGCAGATATAAGGTCCCCTTCTGATTTCCATTTGGCATATTGTGGTATGCAAATGTCTTTCAAATTCTATTACCCCAATAATGTCGATTGCTTTAAAATCAATATATGGCCTACTAAACAAGCATATTACAGTCCCTTTTTATCTGCTTTATTTTGTATCTAAAACCTAATGAAGATTTTTCTTCATTGAAAAAACGTTGTCCGCCAGCGTTCCCGGAGTTGGAGATTGCCCTCTGAATATCCTCCCACTCTTCTCATTCTAAAGATGCACAATGCAGTCAAGACGAACCCTGAGTTGAAAAATAATCAGTCTATAAGGATCATTGCTTTATTTTGTATCTATAACATAATCAAGCTAAAAAAATAATATAGATACTTTTTTATTTATATAATATTGCATTTAAATCCTTATTTTGTCTCAAATATTTTTTGCGGTAGTAATGAAAAGACTTAATAATTACTGTGTTTAGAATGTCCATTTTAAATAAAAATGTCATTTTTCATCCTCTACTCTAGAAATATAAATGGGTGTGGTTATTCATCTGTTCCATGATTCTCCGCACCCCCTTCTCCATGCACTAGTTTCTTAAAATTCATCCAAGCTCATTAGCACACAATCAGCCCGTTCGGTTGGTGGCTACTTATCGTATACGATCGTAAATTTCTAGCCGGAACGGTATTTTTCTCTCACACAAACCAACCAGCAGTACTTCTTCACGAACTAGCAACTAAAGAAGCAATAGTTTCCTCTTCCTAAATGGCTTCAACAAAATCACAGACTTTGTTAAAAAAAAATCTTACAAAAATATCACCAATCAACTCGTAATAATTTACAACACTAGTACTCTGCAAAGGGTAATTTCACCTTTCAACAGTTTACACTGTACAAGGCCACCGGCCAGGGGGGCAAACCGGACAAAGGTGATTCCGTGAAGCCCAGCCATGGTGACAGTTAAGCCCAGCCATCTAATTATTCAGTGACACTCCTAATCTCGCCATGGATTTCCGGCCTCATAGCCACTTCAGTATTACTGCATAGCAGCACAAGCACAAAAACGTCACGCCATATATAGTCTAGTATAGATGTGGGGCAAAAAAGTAAATAAATAAACCAACAGGTATGAGGCGGCATATTTTGGACTTATCTCTATCTACATCAAATCTAATATAAACTGAAGAAAAATAAATAGAGCAGCCTACAATAAACTTCAAATCAACCTTATACTACTTTAGAAGGTAATGCATATATGTTATATTTTCTAATTTCATAGGTATGGCAGGATATAATTGAGAAGCAGCTATAAGTTTTAATATACTGTAAGGAGCAATATAGCATGCAGGATCAAATAGAAAGGGGTGTCGCACTTTAGAGCTGCAGGGGAACTGTGGGGGCTAATAGCTGCAACATTCTTCTTGTAGAACTGGATGGAGACAAGACCACCATGCATTCTGACTGATGATATAGATGGCCTATGAAAGCTTATGCTCGCCCCATGCCTTGAGAAAACCCCTGTATAATTAAAGCAATGAGTTTTAGGCAGTCTTATTTCTGACATAATCACTTTGGACTGAAGTAGTCTAACGACTTACAGTGTTTTATTTCATCAGCAAGCCTGTTCATTGAGAAATATCAAATATTACATAAAAATCATTGAAGTTCGACCACAGACATCAGTAAAACACACATGGCACAATTGTTCTAGGGTAAATAATAAAAAGAATGATAAAGATGGATGCAATTGTAACATGAATGCAGTTGTTACAAATGGGTACTCCCTTTGTCCCTTTTTAAATGTCATTCTCACTTCCTGAGAAGTCAAACATAATCAACTTTGACCAAATATATATTAAAAAATATTAATATGACTTGCACACACCCCATACCCATAGCGACACATATAGAGACAGAGGGAGTACATGTGAAGGTGTGGTGAAAGACAAATAAAGAAGTGGAACTGACATGCTATCATAGATTCATAGTATCTGAACAATACAATGCAAGCGTTATTATACACTTGATAGGAAATATAGTTAAGTATGAACTACCAAACTACGTGCATTTTCACTAGGAGAATGTTTCCTACACGTGTACGGCCAACTTTTAAATTTTAATCACAGAAATACAGCAAAGAATAATGCAGAAGTCTGAAATAATTAAGGAAATAAAATCTTTTGATACACACAGGAAGCAGAATTCTGAAATGGGACCAATCATCAGGCTTAATTATATAAATCAAAGTTGAGAACAAGAAATCTCTCATTTGTTCTTTTTCATTTCATGTTTAAGGGTGGGGAAATGCCCCCCTTTTATTTGCTAATATAGAATTTAAAAGGGGAAGGCTGCATATTCCTAAAGAATATCTACATCATTTAGCCTATGCTCCATTTTGCAAGACCCAATGTCTTTGCTCACTGAACCTATGTAGCACATGATACGAGCAATTCAATGCAGTAGCAACAGACACTAGTTTAGTAGGGTAGGAGGCCAGCTTCTCTGTTTTAAGTGTTCATCAATCAAAATAAAATAAAATAAAATATAAAATAAAAATTAACAGGCAGTACCCGAGAATGCATGTAATCAACTTTTTCTTCACAATTTCAATAGCACAAATACACAGTACCGTTATGAGCTAGATTGGGAAAAAGACCAAGCCCTTGTCATGGAAATAAGGATTGTATCTTCTTGCTGGATTATAACAATCACAACAAGCCTACTTATATGGAGGCTCTCTGAACAAAATGTAAATAACATCAGTCGAGATAATATCTTTATTAAGAAAATAAGAAAGATGACAAATAAGAAACAACTAATTCTTATGTCAGGATACTAATGAATTATTTTAGGAAAATTTGATACTCTTCTTGAGGAAGATGAACACAAATAATATCCTTGACATAGGCTATCAGTACAGGACATGCAACAGCCATGCTTACATGCATAAACAGTAACGAATCATACTACTAGATTTATAGTAAATACCATAGTAAGCATTTAGATTTCTTACATGAAAATCATACTGCTAGATTTGCCATCAGAAGTAGTGAAGTACTTTTATATCATTATAATTTGGGTAATTACACATATAGCAAGAAAAGGCAACAGTCAAAGACATTTACTGGAAACAATGCTGATGCACTAAACGCTTTTGAAAAGAGGGTAAATGAAAGGCATAAATGTTGAGTAATGAAATTAAATTCCCTAAGAGTAGGCAGTATATATTACCACTCAACTCAATAAACCTTTTTGTGCATATCCTACACTTATGTTGTTTCCAGGCAAAGTTGAATTAATAAAGACTGATGGTATTGGACAACAAAGATGCAGTAGACAAATAGTAAACTGAAGGAATTAGTCAAACACCATTTATAAATATCGGACAAGGTATTGGTTGCAAAGTGAATGTAAGTATAACTGCAGTCAACACCTGCCATAATGTAATGGTGATTAAGTAGGAAATTTCTTGCTCACAAAGGATGCTTCAGGAACAACAAAGATGGTTTACTGCTATGCACAGCCAGTGCTGGTGAACAAGAATCCATTTGTGTATAGAACATAACGAATGTAAACATTTCTTATGGGTTACCAGTTGTTATACCTTGCCAAAGTATGAAGAAGCAGAAGATGGCAGTAATGATCAAAGCCACCAGGTTCCCAATGGAAGATGCTGGTTTGGAATTCTTCATCTTCTTCAATGCCTTCATTCGCTCAATCCTAGCCCTCTTTAACACTGCAAGCTCTGATAGTTCACTGATGAGCTTCTGATCAGCAGGGTCTAATGGTGAAGTAGTCGGTGGTCTTGGAGGTCGTGGCGGCTTCTTGTACCATTTTTTCTTTTCCTTATCAGCAGCTGACTTATCCAAAAGCCCAACCTTGATCTCCCCTTCAGATGCCATAGGCTCTCCACTTTTACCAGTTGAATCTCGACAGTGTGAAGAGCAACAAGATATGTGGTGACTCTTATCATCCTTCAGTGCTACAAGATCATCATATGAGCTGTGGGGCTTTGTCCTTGCATGCCCAGCTATTGAATTAACCTTCATCCCACTATTGTCCTCTTTGGGTAGCAAGCAGTTGCCTTTCTCCAGGTCAACCAACATATCTTGGTCACATACTTCCTGTACCTCCATTAGAATGACAGGAAAATCTCCAAATGATCAAGATGTAGGAAAACAACCCTCTTTTCCAGCTAGAAATCAAGGAACTGCAATAAAATGTTAAGATATAAGTTAATCCATATCAAATGCTAGTTAGATACAAAAACATATGCAAGGATCAAATGGGGGTAACAAATTCAACATCTCACAAATTACAAAATCAAATAACAATCATAACTCGCGGCATAGCTAAAACAAGAGAAAGATAAGGTAAACAACTTAACAAGATAAGCACAGAAGCCATCATATAAGGTCATAAAACACAAAGGGAGAAATTTTCCGTAAGTCTAACAGTTTAAAATACAGGAAAAAAGGATCAGTAGAAAAAACTTAAGCTGAAAGGACTGGGTGGAAACAGAATAAGTAGGAACCCAGAAGTTTCAAACTTCACCAAGATAGTGGTTGCCAAAAGACAAAACAGCATGCCACTTATACCTGAAAAATACTTGACAACACTAACAAACTATCCACTAAAATCAACACACAAGCCAGTAACTTGCCTAAAGATTTCAACACTTTCCTCCAGAAACAATTTCAACTGTTTTTACTGAACACAAGATGTACCAAAGTGGTTAGTTATCCAGGCAATCGATATCTCAAAACACTACCTCTGATCCTAAGTATAAATCCATTTAGGCTTGTTTCTTGTCAAACCTTTTTAGCTTTGTCCATCAAGGCATCAACATGTATAGATCCATGTATAGCTTTGTCCATCACGGCATCAACATGTACATCTAAAAAGCTTTAGGTTAGGGTTTGGGTGCTCGGTTCGCACAGCAGGAAGGGAAGGGAAAAGGGGTGGGAGTACCTGGTAGGTGCTCGTCGCCGGCGAAGAGACCGGCGAAGGCCTTAGCACCTGGCGCAGGGCGGCGGCGGCACACCAGTCGTCGAAGAGCGAGACGGCGGGCGAGAGAGAGACAGAAACGTAGTCAACCGTGTAGGAAGGCGGAATGCGGCGGACGGCGGCCTGTTCGGCGCAGGGACAGCGCACGGGCCTTCTCCGAGGCTCCTAGTCGTAGGCCGTTATTTTTCACACAATTTTTTTTGTATAATTTCTTTTTTTTATCTATCTCTCCCTTTCTATTTTCTATTTTTCTCTATTTCATATATTTATTTATCTCCAGTGGGACAGTACCAATGGCAAGTACCAATTGTTGTTCCTTTAATATTTTGCTCGAGTTTTTTTTTTATGTTTGCAGCGATAGTTTTGGTGCGGATTGGAGATTGGAGGTTCATGAGCATGAGCCTGTTCGTTGGTTGGTGCTGGTGCTGGTTTGGGCTAGCTGGTGCTAGTTTTTTTTTAGAGAAAAATACTGTTGGCTGGCTAGTTTGGATTGACTGAAACCAACAAGCGAACAGGCTGCATGATGGAAAGTTTCCTGAATTTTGTGATCTGTTTGAATTTTGGATTTATAATTCTTAGGTGGTAATTGGATATGAAAATTCCGCCTTTTTTTCTTGCTGGGATGGCTCTGTGACTTGCGATTCCTGTGATTGGAACTTATTAGGAGTTAACTGATTCGGACCGAGCGATTTTCCTAACAAGCCCCAGCCAATTGCAATTTGCAAAGCTACCATCCGCCTTCGTCATGGTCATTATAGAGGCTTTATGGTGCCAGGCAACAGGTTTCTAATTTAAAAAGGGTTCAGATCATGTCTTCTTAAGCATCTCGATGAGAAGACCATTTATCGGTGTTTCGAAGAGCCGACCAGTAAATTTGTATATTGCGTGTCTGACCCGTATGGTGTGCTAAGAGGACACCAGAATTATACTGGTTCGGGTCGAATGTCCCTACATTCAGTTTCGGGTTGCTCGTGTTACCAGCACTGAGTTTTTAGTAGAGGTTTATAAACTGGCGAGAGAGGACGAAGCTCCCAAGTCTTTGTGGTTCGATTGCTCGATGCTTCTACTGCTCGATCTATCGGTCGATCGCTCTCTCTCTCTCTCTCTCTGAACGGTGCCCTGGCTTCCCTTTTATAGACCAAGGGGAGAGAACTGGATACCAGAGACCAAGAGAAGAGACGAAGGAAAAAAGAAAGAGAAATAAGGCTCCGGGGGTGTGCCGTCCTCCTCTTCGTGTGGGTCCCACTGACCCTGTAGATCGTGGTGGCAGCGGCGTCGCACTAGGGTCCTGTTGGCCGCTGCAGCATACGTGCGGGCGTCGTGCGCCGTTCTTATCTTCCATCCCATTCGAGCGGACGGAATGGTCAAAGGGTCCCTTGACAGAGGCCATACGGGGGACTAGCGGTATAGTGCCAGTCAACTGACATCGGTCGACTGACGTTGGACGGTGGTTAGGCAGGGAGTTGACAGCACAATGCTGGCCTAGTGACGCGGTGGGCAACGTGAGTCTCCCAGCATGGCCTGATGCGACCGCTAGTCGCATCAGGACGCGCCTGAGACGTGCTCCTGGGCGTGCGCCTCCACGCCGTAGTGGTTGAAGCGGTTCAGGTCCCACCCTAGGCCACTACTTTTGTTTGGTAGCAAATTCGACCCCTAGGAAACGGGCGAGGCGGAAATCTCGACCTGGGGGCCGTGCGAGACGGAATCCGACCCTCGGGGGTCGGACAAGGCGGAGCCGTCCCCATGGGACCGGACGAGTTGGAGCCCGCGCCCTAGGGTCGGAGGAATCGGAGCCCACGCCTTGGGGTCGGACGAGGCGGAAACCTCGTCCTCGGAGTCGGAGCCCACGCCTTAGGGTCGGGCGAGGTAGAAACCTCGTCCTCGGAGTCGGACGAGGCGTGGCCTGGCCCCTGGGGGTCGGACGAGGCCGCAATTGCGTCCTTAACCATCGGATGAGCCGACGTGACGCTCATTAATCCTTTGGCTTGGATACCCGGGTATAGATATCCGACAGTAGCCCCCGAGCCTTTGGAGGAGTAAAACACTCCTGCAGAGGCTTTTTGCGATTTGTTGCTCCTATGGCCATTGTGCCGTGGAGGCAGGTTGTTATTGGAACTTTGGCGTCTTTTCCCTTCATACTACGTAGGGTAATCGGGTAGGATTTAGGCACCCAGCCTCCATAGGGAGGACTAGCAAAGGCCGCGGAGGCGTTCTGAGCAGACATAGGCTCCCATGCTCCCGAGCCTACGGCCGATTGGGGAGTCGGTCGGAGGCTGAGCATTTTGGTACTTATCCTAGGGGCCACAGACTCCTATCTCTTTCGGTCAGGGTGTTCGCCCATGTACTTTTTGACCGCAGCCCAGTACGGCTGGTCAGTTTCTTGAGTGGGGATTGGGCAGCCCGAGCCCCCAAGCCTCTAGGGGTCGGTCGAGGTCGATCGCCTAGTTTCTAGCGTCACTTTGTCTACAGTTTCTATGATTGTGTGTTCGATCTCTTTGCGATGCCGAACCCCCAAGCGCCCATGCGTCTTGTGATTGTCGTCCCTCACGCGTCCATTTGTTAGAACGGATGGGTTGAGCCGTGTCGTGCTTTCCTCGCTGGATGGAGCATGGTGGTCGGTGAGTTGTTAATGGACTTGTTCAAGTGGAGCCCCAGCATCCCCTTCATGGGGCCTAGTTCGAGATCAGCTGGTGACTGACTCTAGATTCTTGGTGGCCGGTCCATATAGTTCTCGGATCCATTCGACCGATCCGAGGGCTCGATGCCTTTCTTTGGGGAAAAACCATGGACCTTGCATCATCTAAGACTCGAAACGAGGGTCAAAACGCCCATGGCGCTTCGCGCGCCTCAGGTATTGGCCGCTAGCGAGCCCGTCCTTAACCTCTCCTCACTCTAGGGTGCCCTGGAGCGGCCGTGAGCCCATTGGTGGGCCAGCCTTTGAACTCCTAGGCGTTAATAGGATGTGGGAACGTTTTCAGCTCCGTATCCCACTTACCCACGGCGGCCCGTAGCCTTTGAAGGCAAACCGTCGCTCGGTGGATCCTTCGCGGGGAAGATTTGGATAGGTATGCGCTCATCTCTCAAGGCAGCAATGCGATTGATGCAACGTGGAACAGTGAGGGCACGACCCCCGAAGGAAGCGGATCTGGCGAGGCGTGGGGCACGTTAATTTAGGAGGATGGTTCGCCTCTTGCCCGTTCCGCCCTTACCTTATAAATGGAGCCGTTTCTCCCTAGCCGCCATACACGTAGCCGCATCCTTGCCCCTCTAGTCTTTCTGCCTTTCGCTCTCAAGTTTCGGCCTTCGCTCCCCTATTTCCGCTCCGTCGCTGGTGACGTTCTCGTTCTCTAGCCCTACGCCACCGTCGGATCTTCTGCATCGCCATCCCCGTTCCTCGATGGAGCCATGGCTTCGCTCTGATGTTTTCCACACGCGCATGGACGGTCTAGTTAAGAAGGGCCTTCTCCACGCAAGGACCACGGCGATGGAGTGGATCGTACCTGGTGGCGAGGATGCGCCATCACCGCCCGACGGCTACGTCGTCTCCTTCGTCCCCTTCCACGAGCGTGGGTTCGTGACTCCTCCCCACCGATTCCTTCGAGGGCTGCTGCACTACTACGGGCTTGAGATGCAGCATCTGAATCCCAACGGGATTCAGCACATCTCAGCCTTCGTCGCGCTGTGCGAGGGGTATCTGGGGATCGAGCCCCACTTCGAGTTGTGGAAGTACTTCTTCACCATTGAGCTATAGAAAAAGGAGAGGAAGAAGCCAGGCCTGGCGGTGCCGATGGGATGTGCGAGCATCCATCTTCGAGGCAACCGGTCGTCGGAGTACATGTCCATCCCGTTGTCAAAGTTGAACAAGGGGTGGCATAAGCTCTGGGTCTACCTGAGGAACGACAACACCGCCCCTTGCCGATCTTCACCGGCCGCCTGATCGAGGAGGCGCCGAATGCATGGAGGTATGGGCCTGTCGTGAAGGAGCAGAAGAGGCTCAGCGACCTTCTCAAAGTCATCATGACTCTAAAGGGCCACGGTCTTTGTGGGACCGACGTCATCAGAGCATACCACGTCAGGAGGCTGGCGCCGCTGATGGCGCGCGCTCTTTCGATGTACAAGATGACGCTGG